ATCCGAGGGCATGATCTCAGCTGACACCACATGCAGCAGAACTCCTCACTTAAACCCAAATTCCAGACCCACAGACTCATGACAAAATCAAATGGCTGTTGTTGGAAGCTACTAGGCTTTATAGTGATTTGTTATATAGCAACAGTTATTAGCACCCCTCATCAGATCTAGAGGATGATATGACATTCCACACCATTCTGCCTTCCCGTTATCACCATTCATCTTCACACCCCCTAGCAGAGTAGACAGCAGCTATCTCACCTGAAAGAGCCTCTCAGTTAATCTCCATCTGTTTCCATTCCTGCCCCCCTTCCAAAACAAAACACAATCATGTCAGAGTACACCAACTGTTTGCTTAAAAATCCTTCAGTGGGGGGCTTTCCTGGTGGTCCAGTGGTTGGCAGTCCCCTTTGCAATTCAGGGAACACTGTTCAATCCTTGGTCTGGGAGGATCTCACATGCCCTGGAACAACTGGGCCTATGCATCACGACTACTGAGCCCATGTGTGGCTACTACCAAAGCCCACGCGCTAGAGTCCATGCTCTGAAACAAGAGAAGCCACCTCAATGAGAAGTCCCCACAAAGCAACTAGGGAGTAGCCCCTGCTCACTGCAACTAAAAAAAGCCCACACGCAGCAACAAAGACCCAGCACAGCCAATACATAAATAAATAAAATAATAAATAAATATATAAATAAATAAAACTCTTCAGGGTTTCCCATTGTCTTCAAGGTAAATACAGGATCCTTGGCATGGCTGATAAATCCTGCACCACCTAGCTCCAGCCTTCTTTTAACCTTCTGCTACTCTCCCAACATCTCTGTGCTGCAACCAGAAGGGCTTCTTTCTGTCTCAAGCACACACCAAGCTCTCTCCTGTCTCAGGGTCTTTGCACTTGCTGTTCCCGCTACCTAACACTTTCTCCTCCCCACCCCCCAAACCCCAGCACATACACTCAAGGCTAGCTCTTTTTCTGGCCTCTCTGTAGTGGCAGCCCAACCTCTGCCCACCCCATATACTCTATCACATCCCCCTTCTAACTCACTTTCAGCACTTAACTATCTAAAAATACCTGGTTTGGGGATTTCCCTGGTGATCCAGTGGTTAATAATCTACCTTCCAATGCAGGGTACATGGGTTCAATCCCTGGTCAAGGAACTAAGATTCCACATTCATTGGTTAGTTGGTTTAGTCGCTAAGTCGTCTCCGACTCTTGCAACCCCATGGACTGTAGCCTGCCAGGCTCCTCTGTCCATGGGACTTTCCAGGCAAGAATACTAGAATGAATTGCCATTTCCTTCTCCAGGGGATCTTCCCAACCCAGGAATCGAACGAGGGTCTACTGCCTTGCAGGCAGATTCTTTACTGACTGAGCTATGAGGGAAGATTCCACATGCCATGGGGCAACTAAGCAGCTACTGAGCCGGAGCTCCAGAGCCCGTGTGCTGCAACAAACTGAAGCTCACAAGCCACAGTCAATAATGGTCCCACACAGAGCAAAGAAGATCTCTGGTATGACAACTAAGGCTCAATGTTGTTGTTGTTTTCAGTCGCTAAGTTGTGTCCAGCTCTTTGCAACCCCATGAGCTGGAGCATACAAGCCAGGCTTCCCTGTCCTTCACTGTTTCCTGGCGTTTGCTCAGATTTATGTCCGTTGAGTCGGTAATGCTATCTAACCATCTCATCCTCTGCCACTCTCTTCTCCTTCCGCTGCCTAAGACTCAATGCAGTCAAATAAATATATAAAAATAAAGATCTGGTTTTATCTGTTGTCTGTCTCTTTCTACTAGAATATAAGCTCCAGGAAAGTAGGAAATTTTCCTTTTTATCCCATCTAATGATACTTACTGTTTGCTGAATAAACCACCAAGTGAGTAGAAGAAGGAAGAAGGAGGAAATTTGGAAAGAACACTGAATTGCCACACCTAGAAAACCCTGGTCCTTGCTACAGTTCTGCCTCTTGCTTATCTCTAGACAAGTCACTTCACCTCACCTGATCAGTCCCCACTGTAATATCCCTAGACAATGATGTTGTGTGTGCCATACACCTGTAGTGTTCACATTTTTACTCATGAAGCCCCATAAGAATTTTGGATAAACTATGTTACTCTCATACATTTTTAAGTCAACAATAAATTATTTCTCACAAATTAAAATCAGTTGCAAGATAGAACTTTCTGGCATAGTCTTTATTAGAGACATGCTTTAGATATATCTTCCTCCAAACCTTGGAGCTACAGATTTAGCTTGCTCAGTTTATGCAAAATGTCTGCCATATAATCCAATTGTCAGAACCAGTCCTCACTGTCAAATCGATCAGCCAAACCAGAATAATCTTCTGTCTATAAGAGAATCTACCTTCATTCTTTTCTTGTTACCTCTAATTAATTTTTTATTGAGGTATAGTTGACTTGTGATAATATGTTAGTTTCAGGTGTACAACATAGTAATTCAAAATTTTTATAGGTTATACTCCATTTAAAGCTGTTATAAAATATTGGCTATATTCCTTGTGCTATATAATATATCCTTGTAGCTTATTTATTTTACACGTAGTAGCCTGAACCTCTCAGTCTCCTACTCCTATCTTGCCCGATCCTTTCTCTCTTCCCACTGGTAACTGCTAGTTTTGGTCTTACTGAGAGCCTAGCAATTCTAGCTCCCACCCTCCACTAGGCCTTTTCATGAGCATCTCTCTCTGTCAGAACATCTTCCCTCCCCAATTTGTTCTCCTGGCCAAGTCCTAACACCCCCTCCAAGACTCTGTCCTAACATTTCCTCTGCAAAGCCTTATTAAACCTCTACTATGCACCTGCCGTTGTGCTAAGCAAGGGATACAGTAATGAATAAAGCAGACATGGAAGAATTAAATCCCCCTTAGGGTACCACTGTCGTCTTTGTATTATCACTGTCTCCTCCACAAGGCTCTGAAAGCCCTGAAGATAGAACTTCTGTTTTATTCACCTTTTAAAGTTATGTATTTATGTTTGGCTGTGCTGGGTCTTTGTTGCTGTGTGGGCTATTCTCTAGTTGTGTGCAGGCTTCTCATTGCGGTGGCTTCTTGTAAATCATGGGATTTAGGGTGAATGGGCTTCAGTAGTTGCAGCTCCCGGGCTCTAGAGCATAGGCTCAATAATTGTGGTGAATGGACCTAGTTGCTCCACGGCATGTGGGATCTTCCCAGATCAGGGAATCAAACCCGTGTATCCTGCATTGGCAGGCATATTCTTTACCACTGAGTCGCCAGGGAAGACCTATTTTATTCATCTTTGAATCCCTATTATGGAACCCACAGAACGAATCAGATTGTTTGAATTAACTTACTCACAAAAGAGTCCTCGAACATTTCTGTATCAGAAACATACAGGGTGCTCACTATAAGCTGTGAACATTATGCATGGGACCAACAGAGGACATGACTGAATGAATGAAGTGTGAATGAGTGACTGAATGAATGAATCGGGGGAGGACTATGCTCTTCCCAATTGGATGAAGCAGCCCAGAGCAGGAGATGACCTGATGTACAGCAAGTGAGAAGCCAGTGTCGAGGAAGCTGGGGGAAGGCTGATGGCCTTTTGTTCTTTCTGTTACACAGAAACTTGAAGGACAATAGGATTTGAACAAAATCCAAGGAATCCAGAGTCTGACCTAGATTTGAATTCTGGATCCACTACTTATTATTAGCCATGTGACCTTAGGCAAATCCCTTTGTCTGTTTGTATCTTCATGGGGCTGAGGATAATATAATAGGGTTATGATTAAATGAGATTACCCATTTAAAAGTCTGTAACCTGAGGCCAGGCGGAGAGGGTAGTAGGAACTGACAGTTCCCATCACTGACTAAGTATGCAATTTCAGAAACACAGCGGGAGAGCCTTCCTTTCCTTCCAGCTAGAGGTCCCAGCCCTGATCGCTGTTCTAACCTCAAAGGGCAGGCGGCGCTTTCCCTATTCAGCCCCTCCCTTCACCACCTGCCCCTCCACTCCCAGCTCAGGGTTTACAGGTTGGCTCAAGTGCCTTCAATGCCAAGGGCGTCTGCTACATCTTTACAGGATAAAGAGGGAAGGGCGGCAGTTAGGGCGGGTCATGGCAGGAAGCGGTCATAGAAGCACAGGTGTTTCTGGAGGCCTTGCTGTGTGCCCAGCACTGGGCTTGGTGTTTGATATGTATCATCTCATGTCCATGGAGTCCCAACAACAACAACAACATCTCATGTCCTCTTCGTAACAACACTATTTAGAGATAAGGAAACTGACCTTCAGGAAGAGGCGGGGATATCAATCCAAATGCCTCTAAGACTCCAAAATGTTTCCACTCTGTCACGCTGGCCACCTGCTTATAGATGATCACCATACATTTGTGAAATAAACTTCAGTCTTCTTATTCCCAGGCAGAGTGAAACTGTGTGTCCCACCCATAATGTCACCCCTGCCCCACCCCATCCCTGCACCCCACCCCCGGCGGAGAATCATGAATAAAGAATAAAAAGTAATATATTAAGGAGTGCACAGAATCCTTCAGACACCCACAGCAGGAAGGAGGAAACAATCTCGGAGACTTGCTGGGTAGGAAGCAGCCAGAGACTGCCCGGCCCCGGCTGTGGCCCCCCGGGGCAGAATTCTAGGGAGGACTAGGATCTGGCTCAGTTGGAGGGAGGAGAGCTCCGGGGGCCTGGAGTTGGGGACAGGTTACTGAGCAGAACAGGATGAAGGAAGAGAAAGGCGAGAGATTGACCAAGGCTCTGAGGGGCAATGGCATTACCTGGTCCTCCTACCATCGGGGAGAGGGGTGAGTCAGAGCCCCCTGACTCCTGGCCCAACCTGCTGCCAACTTTTAAAATGAAAGTAGCAGGAGCGGACACTCCTGAAGCCTCCTCCGGATGGAGGTTGCCAAAGGAGCACTCCTTGGTCGGCCCTGGGCCTCGGGCGCTCCCCCCACACCCCAGCCCACCCGCCCAACGGAGGGACCCGGTCGATGGCTCCCAGCGCCCGCAGCTTACCTGGGGAGGCCAAGGTGCGACCCAGGCAGCACAGGCTGCTCCCTGCCTTCCAGGCCAAGGGGCTGCCTCAGGTGTCCTCAAGTTCCCGCCCTGCCAGACACTGCTAGGTCGCTCCTCAAATTAAAATCCTCCCACAGGTTCCCGCTGGCCCAGCCCCCGGGGGAGGGAGCCCGAGGAAATCCCCTCCCCGCCCTGAGAGGGCCTGGGCCGGGCCAGCCAGCTCGGCAACCTCAGCCCTGGGCTGGCCCTGGATGAAAGAGCCCTCTCGCTCCGCCTGTCTGGATTTTAGCCAGGGAGCCTGTGACCGCCCCTTTGCTCTTTCTCCTTGGTCCCGGCCCTGAACTCCTGTCCTCTTCCTAGTCCTACCCTCCCAGGTCTCTTGCTCTGCGTTCGCAGCTCTCTGGAGAAAGACCACAGCTGGAGGACTCCTTTCTTTTCCCACCTTCTTATTTCCTGATTCCTTCTCAAAAAGATGCCGGAGAGCAAGAGAGCTTATTGATGCATCCCACAGGGACCCCCACAGGGGTCCGCGCCCCAAGACCCAGAGCAAGACAGAACCAGACAGAGAATGGATGGTGGGGGAAAGGGGGATCTAAGGAAAAAACGGTCTTCCCTCCTGTGTTTCTTCTTTACTCACATAGGAATACCACCCAACACTCTGACACCAGATGTGTGGGTTTAACCCACCCCAAACAATTCTGCAATAGCAGCTGGGTGTCCTCCAATTTAACTCAGTTCTGACACAATCTACCTGAAGCGAATGTCAGATCCCACAGGTGAAGGGCTCAGACTGCTGCCCACTTCAGAAGCCAATTGCAAGAAGTAGGTCCCCAGGTCACCCACAACTTTCATCCAACTTAGCTACACATCAGAGGTTCCTGTGTTCCCTTCCTGAGATCTATAGGGTGAGGTCTGGATGACTACCGAGCACAGAAGTGTCTGTCCTCGTGGAGTTGGGATGCAACACCCTCCCCGTAGGTGGATGCATTTACCACCATGGAAAGTCCCTGAACTCCTAAGGTTGGGATTTTATGGAGACCTCCTCACATAGGCATGATCAATTATTAACTCCATGTCCAGCCCCTCTGTCCTGTCAGAGGATAGAAAATTTCAATGTTTTAATACTGCCTGGCTTGGTCTTTCTAGTGACCAGCTCCCATTCAGGAGCTCACCCAGAGTGACCTCGTTAAAACAAAAGATGTTCATTGTGCTCTTATCTGGACTGAGAAGTTTTACAAGTGTTTTAAGAGCCTTGTGTCAGGGACAGAGTCAAAAGCCAAATATTAGAACAAAAAGATGCTGGCAGTGCTCTTATCACTTGGGAAATTACAAGACTTTTAGGCGCTCTCTCTAAACCAGGAACCTGGGACAGAGACCTATATATATATATATATATATATATATATATTTTTTTTTTTTTTTTTCTATTATCTCACAAAGGGGAACCAAACAGCTGGAAAAAAGATATTTAGGAGTGGTACAGAAATAGCAACTGAAGCCCTGAGAGTGAGTGAATACACTCAGGGAGAAAACCAGAGAAAGGAGAAAAGGGGATCTAAGACAGGACCCTAGGAAATACCAAGGGACATGCAGAGCATAGGGCAGGAGGAAGAGTGAGGAAAGGGGCCTTGCGTGGTGGTCCAGTGGCTGACTCCACACTCCCAATGCAGGGAGCCCAGGCTTGATCCCTGGTCAGGGAACTAGATCCCACATACCGCAACTAAGAGTTTGCGTGCTGTGACTAAGACCTGGCACAGCCAAATAAATACATAGGGAATAAATAAAGAGGAAATGGCCAGAAGTGAGGGCCAAGGGTTTGAGTCACTTTGGGCTCCTGTAACAACACACTATAGGGACCTGGCAGTCCAGTGGTTAAGATTCCACCTTCCAATGAATTGGCTACTTGGTTGGGGAACTGAGGTCCCAAAAGCTGCAGGGTGCAGCCAGAAGTTAAAAACAAGTTCCCGTCTGGCTGGCTTAAACTAGTTCATTTTTTCAGTTCTGGATGCCAGGAAGTCCAAGATCAAGGTGCTGGCAGATCAGTATCTAGAGAGGGCCTTCTTCCTGGCTTGCAGACAGTCACCTTCTCTCCAGGTCCTCACCTGGTGGAAAGCAGAGAGAAGCAAGCTCTCTGGCATCTCTTTGCAGAAGGGCTCTCATCTCATCATGAGGGCTCCACCTTCCTGACCTAATTACCCCCCAGAGGCTCCATGTCCAGTACCATCACATGGGGGCTTGGGGCTTCAACACATGAACTGGCTGGAGAGGGAACACAGCCCCACTATAGGGGTTGAGCAGAAAGGCCAGAAAAACAGATGCAAATTGGAGTGGACAGAGCAAGTAGGCTGAAGTGGGGAGGCATGGCCCTCGGAGATGCCCCAAAGCACTAAAGATGGATAGCTGAGCCTTTCCTCAGGAGCTTAATAGAGTGGCACCTCACTTCTATTTCCTAACTAAAGTAGGTGGCACGGTCACCTGTTAGAGGGATAAAGGTTGGATGGAAGATTGAAGGGAATTGTCAAATGTTTGAAAAAACTGTTGAGAGGAGAGAAACTCGACCAAAGTAATGTAGAGGCTCACAGAGGAGTATGGAGAGTCCAATCAGAACAACACACATACGTGGAGACTTCCCTGGTGGTCCAGGGGTTAAGAGTCTGCCTTCCAATGCAGGGGATGTGCATTTGATCCGGGGTCGGGAAACAAAGATACCAAGCCCGGGTGCTGTTAACTACTCAGCACATGCACTCCGGAGCCTGCGCCCTTAAATAAAAAGAGCAACACAGATTAACAAGGAAGCGAGGCTGAGGGGCCCTCAGGGCAGCTCCTGTCCTAAGTGACCTGATGGTAAGATCAATGGGAAATGGATGAGACTCATGGGGAAATGCCACCAACATCGTTCAGCTCCCAGATCTGGGGGGAGATTTTCCATAAGAGGGGAACCGTCTACAGAGAAAAGGTCCTGCTTTAAGGGACTATGGGCAGCCATAAAAGTGCAAAGAGCCTCTGAGGCCAGCAGTGGCAGTGCTGGGTTGCAGAACTGCACGGGAACAGTGGCTGTGCCAACTCAACTCCAGGATCCAGTTCTCCCCACCAAGTAAAGTGGGACCCAGGCTGTCAGAGACACCACCGTGCAGTCCAGCCTCCAAGAAATCTCCCTTGTTCTTGTCTCACCCTCAACAAGTTGCTTCCTGACTATGACTTGGTTTCTCAAGCTGTGTGATTTCACAGAGGGAAGGTGTCTGCCCACACCCAACAAACACTTAAATTAGGGAGCTTTCAGACAGCAAAGCCTGTATCTAATTTATCTCTGTGTCCCTAGCACCCAGCACAGGGTTCAGCATTCAGTTGGGGTTCAAAAAGGTATTTGAAAAACAGATCTGGGGAAGACTGATATGCCCTTAAATACATTTTGTATAATTCTTGTTCAGGATTTGTGTATTGGTTGCTGTTGAACCCCATTCATATGGATCAGTACCTACAAAACATGTCAGTTCTGAAACATTGACAAGCTCATGTTTCTAAACCAGCAAAATTCAGAGCCTGGTCCTGCACTGTGGTGAATTCACCAAAATCATACTCATTCCCTTTTTAAAAATGTATTTTCTTGAAGTATAGTTGATTTACAGATTGTGTTAATTTCTGCTGTACATCAAAGTGATTATATATATATATATATACTTTTATGTATATACACACACACATTCTTTTCCATATTCTTTTCCACTATGTTTTATCAGAAGATATTGAATATCCCTGTGTTATACAGTGGGGCCTTCTCTATCCATCCTGTATGTAATAATTTGCATCTGCTAATCCCAGACTCTCAACCCTCCTCCCCCATCCCCTCCCCCTTGGCAACCACAAGTCTGCTCTCTATGTCTGCAGGTCTGTTTCTGTTTTGCAAAGAAGTTCATTTGTGTCATGCTTTATATTCCACATATAAGTGATATCATACAGTATTTGTCTTTCTCTTTCTGACTTACTTCACTTAGTATGTTAATCTCTAGCTCCATCCATGTTGCTACAAACAACATTATTCCATTCTTTTTATGGCTGAGTAGTATTCCATTGTATCTAGAGATCATGGCCCTTCGAGGTCAGTGAACCAGGCTTCTTCTTTGTAAAGTAACATACCCAGAACCCCTCCTCATCCAACCAACATCATGAGATCTGGATCTCTTGCCTGGGAATTCCCAGGCAGCCCAGTGTTTAGGACTGGGCTTCGCTGCTCTGACAGAGAACATAGTAGGATGGTAGCACTGATTTGGGTTTGGGTGCTATAGGAAGGCAAGGGCCACGTACCTTTCCAGCTCACCACGCCCAGCTCGTCCTCATTCATCCCTCAAAACTTTGGCTATCGTATATGTAATCTGCACCCAGAATTTGTTGCATTGGTTTTTCAGTGTCCTCAGAAAGAGGGCATTTGACTCAGGCTGGGTCAATTTGTTTCCTTTTCCTAAAAATGTCCATAGGGGAAGGGAGACTCTACTTTGTCTCTGCTTATAGCTGTAACTAAAAGTAAGCCTGGGAGCTACAGAGAGTTCCTTATGAAGAGATGCAGAGTTAACACATCTTTTCCATGACACTCTGAACTTGCCACACAACTTCTGACACTTCTAGTCACCAAATGTGTGACCACTAAGCAATTCTCTGTGACCCCAGCTGGGCGTCCTACAATTAACTGTTCTGACATGATTGCCCTGAAGAGAGTGTCACATGGCACAGATGAAGGGCTCAATCCCATGAGACAGTCCCCACTTCAGATGCCAGTCCCAAATAACAGGTTACCCACAACTTCTAAACAACTTGGTTACAAATTGGACATTCCCCCATTCCTCTACTCAGATTTGATTAACTTGCTACAGTGGATCACAGAACTCAGAAACACATTTACCAGTGTGTTAAAAAATTATATAATAAAGGATACAGATGAAAAGACTGGTGAAGACATACAGGATGAGGTCTGGGAGGATCCCAAGAGCAGGAGCTTCTGTTTCCATGGAGTTAGGACGCACACCTTCCCAGTATTTGGCTGCACACTTTCACCAGCATGGAAACTCTCAGAAGCCCATGCTGTTGGCATTTTACAGAGGCTTACTTGTATAGGCGTGATCAATTATTTACTCCCATTTCCAAGCCCCCTACCCTCACTGGAGACGTGAGGGTGGAGGCAGGGCTGAAAATTCCAAGC